CTGGTATTATGACCAGGTTTACTGTGCTCAGCTCTTTTTATTTTTCAAATCAGTAGGCTTAAAAGTTGCCAAAGCTAGGAGAGAGATGTAGGGTTCTATACCCTGACCCTTAAGAGGAAGAATCATTCACCTGAGCAGATATATTTGAAAGTAAGCTTTCTTCAATAGCATATTTTAAAGGCATAGATTTGTTTTTGGCGGGGGTGGGGGGGGGAGAATGGAGACTATCTACACAGATTGGTCAGCAAAGGTTTTTGATATTAAGGCTAAACAGAAAACAACACTCAAAAAAGAGTTACAACTTTGAAAACTTGTTATTCTCCAACCCTCATGTTCACAGAAGTGATTTTTTTTAAAAAAAGATCTTTTGATATACAATATACTAAGGAAACAATTAAAAACCCCTGCAATTTAGCCAAGCACAAGGGATCATCTGACAGTGGTCCAGTGAGAGAGGTGCCCAGTGCCAGAGAAACAGTGACTGAGTTGAAACCCAGATTCTCAGACCGCTAGGGAAGGATCCTTCTGCTATGCTTCATGATACGTATGTGAATCACAGATGACTAAGCTTTTGTTTTCAGCCTATTCTCTGTATACAGGTACTTTGTGGGTTTTTTAAAGCATACCAATATCAACTGTGAACCATAATCCAATCACTATGCCAGTGGCCAGAAGGCGTTGACTTCAAAGGTGCACTGGCCAGCCAGGCTGAAAACACCTGTGTTTGAAGGGAATGCTGGTTTCCTCTACTTTGTTTTAAAGCATGGCTTTGGGGAGATATGTCCATATTTCATTAAACTAAAAGGAATCTGGGCCGTGAAATTTATTAACAGTGAGGCAGCAATTCTGTCATCTCCAAGACGAAATTTCTGGCCAAGCAGAAAGGCATTCTTCTTAAGAAAAAAAACTGTCATTCAACAGAACAAGCATGTCAGAGACACTGAAATGGCTTTTGCCTTCAGAATTCGGCACCAATAATTCAGTACAAAGCAAAATTCTCAAAGTTTCTGCAGAAGTTTGCTTTTGTGTTTGAGCAAGAACTCAACAATGGTCAGATAGGAAGCAAAAGTTACTACATCCTGAACACACACACCACATGGGCCCCTGCCGGGCACAAGGCACTGGGCAGGGGGCTCCCTTTGAAGTGTTATCAGTCTACTTTTGATCAATTTATGGAGAAATGTCTGAGTGCTGGTCAGACCTTTACATATAGCGTGCCTTACTTTTAATGCCTTTTCTTATCCCCTTTGAGAGGTAGAGAAAGGCTCTCCATGTGACAGGCAAGGAGACTCAGGCTCACCCCCAGGGCTCAGCCACAAAGAAAGCTTGTGGCTGGGCTTAAAGTCAGGTCTCCAACCCTGCTTCTAATGGCACTTCCCATGAAGCCACAGTCAGTTAACTCCGTGGGTCTCTTGATGAAACAGTGGGCCATGGGGAGAAAGCTCTGGATTTGCAGAGGTCACTCTAAGCTGCAACTCTGTTATTCATGAGCTGCGTGACCTTGGGTAAATCACCTGCTCTGCACATCACCTGCCTCAACAGTAACACGGTAACCACAATCTTTCAGAGGGAAAACAGGACACATGAAACTGATTTATAAATGAAAAGTGCTAGTTGAATACATTGTTATCATCATTATTATTATCATAGTGAACGCATTAAGAAAACAGTTATTGGATGCCACTGCTAAGAAATATTTTTTAAAGTATGCTTTTCTTTTTTTTTTTTGAGGTGGAGTCTCACTCTCTCACCCAGGCAGGAGTGCAGTGGTGCGATCTCTGTTCACTGCAGCCTCTGCCTCCTGGTCTCAAGCGATTCTCCTGCCTCAGTCACCCGAGTACCTGGGATTACAGGCATGTGCTACCACGCCTGGCTAATTTTTGTATTTTTAGTAGAGATGGGGTTTTGCCATGTTGGCCAGCCTGGTTTTGAACTCCTGACCTCAGGTGATCGTGATCCATTTGCCTTGGCCTCCCAAAGTGCTAGAATTATAGGCGTGAACCATTGCACCTGGTCAAAAGTATGTTTTTCATAATCACAGAATAAAAACTAGGCAAGAGTGTATGACAATCTATCACCACTGGGGAAAATTGTTTTTTATTTTTTAATTATCTCTTTCTAAAGGCAAGTAAAAGAGAAAAATGTCATCAAAATAACTATATCTAGAAAACTCAGGAAGCTTCTCTCCCTTTTTTAGTTTCTAGTGTGCTTAAATAATTATTTTATTATTTACTTTATTAATTTTCTTGTGATTATTTTTTAATCGGATTTTTCTGCACATCAAAATCACTGAAAACTTGGCAGTCAAAATGTGAAGAAAGAAATGCATCAACTAAAAGTATTCAAAAAAGGAAAACAAATCAACAATGAAAAATAAATGAATTCATTAAAAAATAATGAATGAGGGAGAACCATGTAAATAATAGAAGAAAGAGTTGTCTATCCTAATAAATAAAGTCCATGACATAAATGATACACGGCGCACCCCCACAAGGCAACAGTAACCATGGCAACAAGACAGGCAGTGTACTCACAGTGACCCAACCAAATATCTGACATATTTAAGGTATAGTTCCTAAGCCTATTTTCATATGGTATTGAAATATTTTACACCCTTCCTTAATTAATTGCTCATAAGAGCTATTCCTTTCATTTACAAAGAGATAAAAATTTATTGTGCCTCTTAACTTCAGTAATAATCAACATGACTCAAGTGTGCTGCGGCCAGCAACAACTCTCATTTTCTACTCAGTAATGAATTTCAGTTGAACTGAAATAGATTATCCAGTGATACAGGTGAGAATCAAGACATCAAATCCTGATTCTTCTCCTTATACATAAGGTGCTTGGCATTACTATTTATAAGTTTTTTCTCTTAGAAATTTAATGAAACGTCAAAATAGCAGTGCTGTCTGGGTAGAGAATCCCAGGGCAATCTTTGTCTGAAGGTTTTTAAGAAAAGGAATTTCACGGCCTCATTCTCTGCATTGCTCCAGTATCTTGAACCTTCTCCCTAACCATTTTGCTGCATCCTTTAGAACAAGCCTTGAATTCTTCCTCATTGTCTGTGTCTTTATGGAGTATAAATCCCAACTTTAGAAAAATTTTTCATACAAAACAGGCCTGTACTGGGGAGACTATGAATCAGGGAAGTGTTTTAAGTTCTCAGTACCTATAATCAAGAGAAAGTGTCTCACACTATCAATCTGATGGAGGGATGCAGGGGCTTTCTCTCTTTGATGCAAGGTATATTTGAAGATAAAGGTTCTTTCCTCTAGCCTGGGGATATTTCCCTTTAGCACTGAAATTAGAGACAAAGAAGACAAAGCCTGGCAGGAATGATGAATAAAGGAGAGAACTGCTTTGCTTTGGGGGGCATCCTCTACACCCATATAATCCTTATGTGTTCATAGGATCTAAGGATGGAAATATCCACATCCATCCCAGCCAACATGCATATTAATCTGATACTGGGAATAAGGTGAAGTTATTACAATTCTCTGTCACCTTGTCTGGAATCCAAGAATCTTAGAACCAGTTTTGGCTCTGGAGAAAAAATGCTGTGCAGAGTTGGAACACGAAGGTGCAGTAATAAGATCTGCTTCCCCGGTTGTCTCTGGGTTGCCCACCCTTCCACAGCTCTAGACAGTTCATACTTGAGGACCCTCAGCTGACGACGGGTGTCAGATCACTATTCCAGCAGCGGTGTCAGAGGGACTGATTACTCATCTCGTCTGGAGTGATGTGGAAAGGTGACACTGCATTCTATTATAACCAGAGATAGTGTCAGTGTGGAGAAGAGGATGTGTCAGAGACAGATTCCAGTTCGAGAGGGTTATTTTTGGAATACTCCAAGGAAGCCTTTGGCATGGCTGCCCACATGCACCAGACTTGCTGCTGTGGAATGTGGTGTTCAGAGTTGTCACTCCCTCAAGCCTTGTAGCTAAAAATAAGTATCTACTTATTAAAGTAGATTTATTTTTACTCAGACTTTCTTATTCTTGCAGTATAACTTTTCTTCACATTTACAATTTCAAAATATTTTGTCAATAATGCTTATAATTCTTAAAAATCAATAAATCAAAATCCATAATCCATAAACTAAAATCTTGTATTCCAGCAAGAAAAATGGCTTTCTCATTTTCATGTACTTCTGGAATTTGATAAGAAAAAATTTTGTATGAAAAGAAGGGCAAATGGAATTTTTTGAAGGATAATACAGGATATATTAAAAACCAAGCTAAAAAGAAAAGCTCAAGATATCCTAGAAAGGAGACTAACAGGGCACCCAGACCCCTCCACTCAGTTCCAAGCATCTTCTCACTTAAAGCGTCATTGGCTGCTGTAATGACACTTTCTAGCAGACCTGTGAGTGTAGGTCTTTCAGAAGATCTGGCAGGGGAACAAATTAATCGTTTCAATCTTAGCACCTCCAGGTCTCTAATCCCAGCTGGTCGCTAAATTGGGATAAAGTTCTCTAGTATTTATTATCTAAGTGAAGTAAGACTAATAGCTATCCTTTGTAATGAGAAACTTACTACATTCTATTCTATCCTGTAAGCTGTTGTTATCGATATTGTAATTGACATCTAAAGAAAGTAGTAGAGTGCTGTAGCAGAGTTTTATCAAGAATGCGTGCAATATCTATGCCCCATAAGAACCAGTATCTCGTTTATGTCACCTTACAACACTACTGTCATTTATAATAGATTTTTAATTTTTTTCTAGACTAAAATGGAGACTACTCATTACGTATTCTTATTATACCATCAGTTTCATTTTCTTAATTGTCAGTATAGTGCCTCTTTGAGCTACATGGTTTTCAAGCTCCTTCCCTTAGAATGATCTTTCAGCTCACTGCAAATAATTCCCTTCCTCTCCCCCCAACTCCAGTTTGTCCTATTCCTCTATACCTAAACCATTAAAACGCATTCAGGTACTCCAAACACTGCTGAGTCATACCAAGTACTCACAATCAGCTTTTCTTTCTTTTTTTTTTTAATTGATTCTTTATTTCTCAGGGCAGTTTTAGGTTTATAAAAAAAATTGAGCAGACAGTACAGAGAGTTCCTATATGCCCCCTTTACCTGCCTAATCCCACATTTTCCCCCTATTATTATCTTGAATTAGTAAGGTACATTTATTACAATTAATGTACCATATTGACGCATTATTATTATTGTTAACTAAAAGTACTTGGTTTATATTAGGACTTTATATTGCACAGTTCTATGGGTTTGACAAATGCATAATGACATGTGTTCACTATTATCTTTTTGCTATCTCTATAGCTTTGTTTTTTACAAAATATCCATATTCACATATATTGTATAGGCTTGGAATTGTGTACATAGCTCTTTCAGACTGGCTTCTTTCACTTAGCAACATGCAATTAAGGCTCCTTCATGCCTTTTTGGTGCTAATTCCCTTTTATCACTGAATAAAATTTCTTTGTATGAATATAACCACAGATTATTGAAGGATATCTTGGTTGTTTCCAGTTTTGACAATTATAAATGAAGCTGCTGTAAACATTCATGTGGAGGTTTTTGTACAAAAATAAGTTTAAAATTCATTTACCTAAATGCTTAGAAATGTGATTGCTGGATCATATGTTAAGACTGTGTTAACCTTTATAAGAAACTTTGAAGAAACTACAAACTATTTCCCAAGTGGCTGTACCATTTTGCATCACTACCAGCAATGAATGACAGAATCCCTGTTGGTTCACATCAGTATTTCAATGTTCTGATTTTAGCGCTTCTTATCGGTTTTGTAGTGGTATCTCATTTTAATTTACAATTCCCCAGTGATATATGATGTTGGTCTTTTAATATGCTTATTTACCATCTGTGTCTGCCGATATGTCTGTTCAGATCTTGGGCCTTTTAAAAATTGGACTGTTTTCTTACTGTAAGGCTGGTTGCCTCGCCGGAAGTTCGAACACGCCCATCTCCCTCCCCGCTGGAAAGTTACATTATCAGAATATGCCCATCATCTAGCCCGCCTTGGAAATCCCCTCTGCACTCAGCACTTAGCCCGCTCACCGGAAATCCCACCTACCTACCAATAGCAGCTCACCTCGTCCACATTCTGTTTCTCCAAATCCAATCGAACGCCTTCACTCCCTATAAAACCCCACTCCTGAGAGGAGTCAGGTGCGACTTCCCTGGCCCCTCTCCCTGGGACCACAGAACTTCGCCTGGGAGCTGAATAAATTGGCATCTAATTTTCTTGTGCTAGCCTCAGTTTCCTCGTTTTTAACTCGGCAATAAACTACAGAGAATAAACTTTACACTTACTGTTAAATGTTAGCAGTTTTTTGTATATTTTGGGCACCATTCCTTTATTAGATAAATGTCCTGCAAATCTTTCGTTCCATTCTGTCACTCATTTTTTTTCATTTGCTTAATAATGTCTTTCATATAACAGAAATGTTTAGTTTTAATAAAGTCCAACTTATCTAGTTTATTTTTCATGGTTTGTGCATTTGGTGCTTATTCTAATCATCACCAAACTGAAGACCACCAAGATTTTCTCCTTTGTTGTCTTCTCTCATAGTTTTGTATTTTACATCTGGGTCCACAATCCATCCGGAGTTTGTTTCATTTTGAATTTGTTGCACTTATTCTTTCTTTTTTTAGACTTCCTCTTTTTCTCCCTTCTCTGATTTTAACTGGGCACTTTATATGATTCAACTTTCTCTTCTCACTTATCATATCAATTATATTTTTAAATTAAAGAATATTTTTAGTAATTGCCCTGAACTTTGCACTATACACTCACAACTTACCTAAGTCCTCTTTGAACTAGCACTATACCACTTCATGGGATAGTGCAAGCACCTTGCAGCAAAATAGTCCCAAATCCTCCCTCTCATCCCTTATGTTATTAAGGCATTCATTTCACCTATCCATAAGCTATAATCACCTAATTAAGTTTTGCAAATGTTTTAAAAAATAGTTTAACAAACTGTTATCAGTTAAGGCTCTAAAAATATGTTGTGTTACCTTTATTTTTTCTTCTCTAAAGCTCTTCCTTTAAGTAGTTCTGGGTTTCTGACCCATATAATTTTTCTTCTCTCTGGAAAACTTATTTTAACATTTCTTGTCGGCAGTTCTACTGGAGATAAAATTCCTTGTTTGTGTTTGTCTGAGAAAGTCTTTACTCTTTCTTCGCTTTTGAAGAAAACTTTCACTGCACACAGAATTATAGATTGTGGAATTTTCTTTCAATGCTTTACACATTTTGCTCCATTCCCTTCTGGCTCACATAATTTCTGAAGAGAAGTCCAGTGTAATTCTTATCATTGCTCCTTTATGGTAAGGTGATTATTTTCCTCTGGCTTCTTTCAAGATTTTCTCTTCATCTTTGATTTTGTATAGCGTGAGTACGACATATCTAGGTTCAGATGTCTTGATATTTATCCTGCTTGGTATTCTTTGTGCTTACTGGATATGTGTTTTTGTGTCTGCTGTTAATTTTGAAAACTTCTCAGCTATTATTATTTCAAATATTTCTTCTCCTCCTTTTCATCTTTCTTTTCTTTCTGGTATTCCCATTCCATATGTTATGGCCTTTGTAATTATCCCACAGTCTCACAGTTCATGGATATACTGTAAGGTCTTTTTTATCTTTTTTTTTTTCTCTTTGCTTTTTAGACTGGGAGGTTCTATGGACATAGCTTAAAGCCCACTGATGCTTTCTTCAGTCATGTTGAGTCTGTTAAAGAGCCCATCAAAGGCATTCTTCATTTCTGTTATGTTATTTTTGATTTCCAGCACTTCCAATTTCTTTTTTTTTAATTTCAGTAGTTTTGGGGATACAGGTGGTTTTTGGTTACAGGGAAAAGTTCTTTAGTGATGATTCCTGGGATTTTGGTGCATGTATCATCCAAGCAATGTAAACTATACCCAATATGCAGTCAGTCTTTTATCCCTTACCCCCATTGCAATCTTCTTCCCTGAGTCTCCAAAGTCCATTATATCACTCTTACGTCTTCATATCCTCATATTTTATCTCCCACTTTTAAGTGAGAACATATGATATTTGGTTTTTCATTACTTAATTACTTCACTTAGAATAATGGCCTCCAGCTCCATGCAAGCTGCTACAAAAGGCATTATTTCATTTCTTTTTTATGACTGTATATATATACACACACACCACATTTCCTTCATCCATTCATCGATCAATGGGCACTTAGGTTGTTACCATATCTTTGCAATTGCAAATTATGCTGCTATAAACATCTCTCTCTCTCTCTCTCTCTCTCTCTCTCTCTCTCTCTCTATGTGTGTGTGTGTGTGTGTGCCTTTTTCATATAATGGCTTATTTGCCTTTGGGTAGATACCCAGTAGTGAGATTGCTAGATCAAGTGGTAGTCCTACTTTTAGTTCTTTAAATAATCTCCATACTGTTTTTCATAGTGGTTGTGCTAATTTGCACTCCCACAAGCAGTGTAAAAGTGTTCCCTTTGCAACACATCCATGCCAACATCTATTGTTTTTTGACTTTTTAATTATGGCCATTCTTGTGGAGTAAGGTGGTATCTCATCGTGGTTTTAAATTGCATTTTCCTGATGATTACTGATGTTGAGCATTTTTTCATATGTCTGTTGGCAGTTTGTATATCTTCTTTTGAGAAATGTCTATTCATGTCCTTTGCCCACTTTTTGATGGATTTGTTTTTTTCCTTGCTGATTTGTTTGAGTTCCCTGTACATTCTGCATACTAGTCCTTCGTTAAATGCATAGTTTGCAAATATTTCCTCCGACTCTGTGGGTTGTCTGTTTACCCTGTTGCACACCCTTTTTAGTTAAATAGGTCCCATTTATTTATATTTGTTTTTGTTGTATTTGCCTCTGGGGCCTTAGTCATGAATTCTTTGCCTAAGCTAATGTCTAGAAGAGTTTTCTTAGTGTTATCCTCTATAATTTTTATGGTTTCAGGTCTTAGATTTAAGTTTTTGATCCATCTTGAGTTGATATTTGTATAAGGTGAAAGATGGGGATCCAGTTTCATTCTTCTACATGTGGTTTGCCAGTTTTCCCAGCACCATTTATTGAATAGGGTGCTCTTTCCCCAATTTATGTTTTTGTACGCTTTGTTGAAGATCAGTTAGCTGTAAGTATTGGACTTTATTTCTGGGTTCTCTATGCAGTTCCATTGGCTTACATGCCTATTTTTAAAACAGTACCATGCTGTTTTGATAACTACAGCCTTGTAGTAGAATTTGAAGTTGGGTAATGTGATGCTTCCATATTTGTTCTTTTTGCTTAGTATTGCTTTAGCTATGCTTTTGGCTTAGCATTGCTTTGGCTATTTTTTGGTTCCATATTAATTTTAGAATAGCTTTTTCTAGTTCCTTAAATAATAATGATGGTATTTTGATGGGAATTGCGTTGAATCTATAGATTGCTTTTGGCAATATGGTCATTTTCACAATATTGATTCTTCCCATCCATGTTTTGTGTTATCTGTGATTCTTTCAGCAGTGTTGTCATTTTTCTTGTAGATATCTTTCACCTCCTTGTTTAAGTATATTCCTAGGCTTTTTTTTTTTTTTCAGCTGTTTTGAAAGAGATTGAGTTCTTGATTTTATTTTTTGGTTTAGTCATTGTTGGCGTCTAGCAGTGCTACTGATTTGTGTACGTTGATTTTGTAACCAGACACTTTACTGAAATTTTTTATGAGATCTAGGAGCTTCTTGGATGGGTCTTTAGGGTTTTCTAAGTATATCATCATATCATTGATGAATAGTGACAGTTTGAGTTACTCTTTTCCAGTTCAGATGCTCCTTATTTCTTTCTCTTGTTTGATTTTTCTGGTTAGGACTTCCAGCATTATGTTGAATAGAAGTGGTAAAAGTGGGCATCATTGTCTTGTTCCAGTTCTCAGGAGGAATGCTTTAAACTCTTCCTCATTCAGTATAATGCTGCTTGTGGGTTTTTCTTATATGGCTTTTATTATTTTGAGGTAAGCCCCTTCTATGCCTATTTTGTTGAGGGTTTTAATAATAAAGTGATGCTGACTTTTATTGAATGCTTTTTCTGTGTCTATTGAGATGATCATACGGTTTTTGTTTTTAATTCTATCTATATAATGTATCACACATATTGACTTGTATGTGTGAAATCATTCCCTGCAACCATGGGAAGAAATCCACTTGATCATGATGTATTATTTTTTCAGTGTGCTATGGATTTGGTTAGCTAGTATTTTGCTGAGAATTTTTGCATCTATGTTCATCAAGGATGTTGCACTTTTCTTTTTTTGTTACATTCTTTCCTGGCTTTGGTATTAGGATGATACCAGCTTCACAGAATGATTTAGGAAGGATTCCCTCTTTACCTTTGGAAACTACTCTGTGGGTTGTCTGTTTACTCTGTTTACTGAAATAGTTTCAGTAGAATTGGTATCAATTCTTCTTTGAGTGTCTGGTAGAATTCAGCTGTGAATCCATCTGGTCCTAGACTCTTTTGTTGTTGTTGGCAATTTTTGTATTACTGATTAAATCTTGCTGCCTGTTATTGGTCTATTCAGGGTTTCTATTTCTTCCTGATTTAATCTAGGATGGTTGTATGTCTCAGGAATTTATCCATTTCTTCTAGATTTTCTAATTTGTGTGCATAAAGGTGTTCACAGTAGCCTTGAATTATCTTTTGTATTTCTGTGGTATCAATTTTAATATATCCAGTTTCATTATTTTTTTTCTTTTCTTTTCTTTTTTTTTTTTTTTGAGACAGAGTCTCACCCTGTCACCAGGCTGGAGTGCAGTGGCACAATCTCGGCTCACTGCAACCTCTGCCTCCTGGGTTCAAGCAATTCTCCTGCCTCAGCCTCCTGAGAAGCTGGGATTACAGGCATGTGCCACCAAGCCAGGCTAATTTTTTAAAATTTTTAGTAGAGATGGGATTTCACCATTATGGCCAGGATGGTCTTGATCTCTTGACCTTGTGATTCACACACCTCAGCCTCCCAAAGTGCTGGAATTACATGCATGAGCCACTGTGCCCGGCCTCATTTCTATTGAATACTTGAGGTTATATAGATCTTCTTTTCTTTTCTTGGTTAATGGTCTTTCAAATTTGTTTATCTTTTCAAAGAATCAGCTTTTTATTTTTCTTTTGTAATGTTCTTTTTGATTCAATTTCATTTAGTTCTGCTCTGATCATTAATATTTCTTTTCTTCTTCTGGGGTTTAATTTGTTCTTCTTTCTCTAATTTCTTGAGGATTGATATTAGGTTGTCAATTTTTTTTTCAGGATTTTTGATGTGCACATTTAACGCTATGAACTTTCCTCTTAGTGCTGCTTTTACTGTATACCAAAGGCTTTGATAATTTCTGTCATTATTGTCATTCATTTCCAAGAATTTTCTAATTTAGACCTTGATTTCATTGTTAACCCAAAAGCTATTTAAGAGCAAATTATTTAACTTTCATGTATTTGTATAGTTTTGAAAGTTCCTTTTAGAGTTGATTTCCAGTTTTATTCCATTGTGGTCTAAGAAGACCCTTGTTATGATTTCAATTCTTTAAAATTTATTGAGACTTGTTTTATAGTCTATCATATGGTCCACCTTGGATAATGTTCCATGTGCTGATGAACAGAATGTATATTCTGTATTTGGGGAGAATTTTCTGTAAACACCAGTTAGTCCATTTGTTCTAGGATATAGTTTAAGTCTACTGTTTCTCTGTTGACTTTCTGTCTTGATGATCTAGTGCTGTCAGTGAAGTATTAAAAGCACCACACTATTACTGTGTTGCTACCTACCTTATTTCTTGTGTCTAGTAGTAATTATTTTATAAATATGGGAGCTCCAGTGTTAGGTGCATATAAATTTAGGATTGTAACATTTTCTTGTTGGACTAATCCTTTCATCATTATGTAGTGTTATTCTTTTTTTTAACTGTCTTTTTTTTTTTTAACTGTTGTTGTTTCAAAGTCTGTTTTGTCTGATATAAGAATAGCTACTCCTGCTCACTTTTGGTTTCTGATTGCATAGAATATTTTTTCCATCCCTTCATTTTAAGTTTCTGTGACTCCTTATGTGGCTAGGTGGGTCTCTTGAAGACAACAGATATTTGGCTGATGATTTTTTATGCATTCTGTCATTCTGTGTCTTTTAAGTGGAGCATTTAGAGCATTTACATTCAGCATTATTATTGAGATGTGAGGTACTGTTCTAGTGATCATATTAGATGTTGCCTAGATACTTTGTTTTTTTTTATTGTGTTATTTATGCTTTGTGAAATTTATGTTGTAAAGAAGTTCTATTTTGGTGGATATTTGTTTGTCAGCATTTGTTTGAGCAAGATTTTATCTCTCCTTCATTTATGAAGCTTAGTTTTTCTGGGTGCAAAATTCTTGGCTTACAATTATTTTGCTTAAGGAAGCTAAAGATAGAGTCCCTTCTGGCTTACAGGGTTTCTGCCGAAAAATATGCTGTTAGTTGGACAGGTTTTCCTTTATAGGTCACCTGTGCTTTTGCCTCAGAGCTCTTAAAACTCATTCCTTCATGTAGACTTTAGATAGCCTGATGACTATGTGCCCTGGTGATGATGTTTTTGCAATGAATTTCCCAGTTCTTTGAGTTTCCTATATTTGGACATACAGATCTCTACCAAGGCCAAGGAAGTTTTCCTCAATTATTCCCTCAAATAAGTTTTCTAAACTTTCAGGCTTCTCTTTTTCCTCAAGAGCACCAATTATTCTTAGGTTTGGCCATTTAAAGTATCCAAGAAAATCCCATATTTCTTGGACACTTTATTCATTTCTTGAGATCCTTTTTTCTTTTTTTAA